ACCCGCAAACCACATGTTCGCATCCCGCACGGCGCGCATCCAAGAATAAAAGAACGCCTTGCCGGTCGATTCGAGGTGCGAGGGGAAACACCCCGAGAACTCCCTTGCATGCTGTGCCATGATGAGTCACATCTTCCAGAAGGGGCGGGCGAGGTGCTGCGATTAAGCAGCTGCTGGGTTCTCTGCCGACAAGCCCAGCGGCGAAGGCACGCGCATGTCGCTGCGGCACAGAGGCCTCAGAGAAAGCTGTCCTGGCATCATAGTGAAGAGCCAACACAGGCGCAGAACTACCAATGCCTGGGGTTGGCCCGGGAGGTGGCCAGAAGGCGGGCGAAGTCAACCGCAATGCGAGAGAACCAAACCAAACCGGTGCATCCCCATTCCGACGGAACTGAATGATTCCCCCACAAATTGCATGGAACGTGGCAACTTCGGAAAGGGCAGTTGAGGACCCGAAGGCGAAAGCAGTCCAATCACGCATGTGGTGCTTGGTTGCCTCCGTAGCACAGTCCCCCCAGCTCAACTGGTCAGTAACAAACTCGGCATAAGTGGGACCATTCATAGCACTAAAGTCAAAGATGACAACATTCCTTCCCGCAGCTCTTACCCAAGATGGACACAGCAGCAAGGAGCCGCCATCCCGATATAGCTGCGGGTGACAGGGTATCACTTCAATGCAATCAGTGAAAGCCCATCTCGTGACAGCCTTGGAAACCGCATCAACGGCGTCCCCCAAACAACATGGTATAGGCAAGCTGACGGTAACGTAATCGACACGGCAAAGGGGCGCAAGGATCACGAAAACCCTTGGATCGACACCGTAAACGTGGTGCTGGGGTGCAAAGCTTACCTCCTCGACGACGCATTGGGAGGCCGCGATGGCAGGGGACCCCGGTTCGCTCCGTCCATCATATCTTTCATTCAGCAAGGCGGCAGTTTTACACGCCAACTCAGAATCAAGGCCAACAAAGGACCCTTCTCGCCAAATCTGCGGACTCCTCTCAAGGGGGTCGTCGATAGCTTTATAACTGCACCAAGGTACGGTGTTGCCGGCACGCTCTGGATGCCGCCGCTGCCACTAACAACATCAGGGACGAAAGGCCCGTCTTGGACCACACAATCCCAGACCTCTGTAGGGGTGAGCCCAGAAAACCCGACATCACATGCTTGTCCAGAAGGATTGCCCTGAGCGAGGGCATCATGAACATCATCCTTCGGCCAAGCAGCGGCAAAGTTATCTGTACTCATCTCAGCATCAGCGGCCATGCATCCGGCATACCCCAGGCGACGGGGAGATCTGCTGCGGGGTCGCACATTGTCATCATCAGGTCTCCCCGAGCTGTGATCGGAGGAGTCATCATCTCCTTCGTCAGCCCCACTATCAGGACGCGAGTCATCACGCCGTCTCATCTCATCGCTTTCGGCGATGCTGTCAGAATCCGGCTCAGGCGGAACTGCCCAGAAGGACAAGGTGGTATTAGGCCCAACGGAAACGTAATAACCCTCTCTAACACCCCCTGAAACCAAAACTTCATATCCGTCCGGAAGGTGGATATTGTGCTGCTGTATGACAGAAGGGATGTGCACCCTGTCCTCAAGAGTATAGATGCCATACGGACGCACGCCAAGGCATCTGAAGTCCAAGAAGACGAAATGATCAGGGCGTCTTTCTCTAGCAGGTGGGCATGGCAGCGGAGGCGGAACGTTGACAACCATTGCCAACCCGCAGCAATGCTCCCCATGCACACACAGATTGCGAAGGGGCCCATTAATAGCAACATCCATACAGGCTTCATGCTCGGCCAACCCAACACAGGCCTTTGCGGCTTCCTGAAGCGACAGGTGCGGGAAGTCGCGCTTGTAAAGCAACCAGCGATTAGCCCCATAAAGAAGACTAAAACCCGGCGCACGACGAGGGCCTGGGATCTCGCACTGTGGGCTCCAGAACCCTGAGAGAGCCAGGAGCTCCGCTAAGGTGGCCCGGGTTGGCCTTGCAGCATTGATAGGGCAAACCCTAACTAAGCAGCCGTGGAAGAACCGAAGATGTTGCGTCCCATCATAGGGGGCCTCATTTGACCCGATGAAAACTTCAATGCCATCATTTATGCTCGCAATCATGGGACTGACAAATGTAGTCCATGCCGCAAACTCCAAAACCTCCGGCAGAATAGTTGCGAAAATGCTCCCTCCAACTTGAGTGAGGTCTATCACGACCGCAACATGTCCTGTGTGGTCCAGGAAATGTGGAAAGACTACCACTGCGGCGGACGTTGGGTGTGGCAAAGGCTCCACCGGGGCAATGCAGTCGAGATGATGAAGGGGCAGGGGCACACCCGCCTCCCTGACCTGTCTCAAGAAGGCTTCTTGGTCTATGTGCTCGTCGACGTCGAGCTGCGTAAGGATGGTCTGGAAATGTGCAGCAAATATTGCCAGGCCAAGGGTGGTGTACTCAGCGGCCTCCAGACCTTCTTCCTCCGCATCCCCCAAGGGCATCAGGCTGGGCCTCCAACTCCTCAGGCATCGCACTGTCACTGCTGGCTGGGTCCAACCCCGAAGATCTAGCCAACTCAGTCAAAACGGCTCCAGTCTCAAAGCCTCCCGGAACTGCCCAAACACAATGTGGCAAGCTGAAAATGCTGAGAGCCCAAAACCACCACAGACCTGGGATGGTAACACGGGCTTGGGCCTTATGTGACCTGCGTTGCGGGGTGTGCCAGGCAAGAACCGGCCGGTCTGGCCGCGCAATGTGACCAAGCGACCGAGCGAGCTCGGTGCGTCCACCGAAGGTAGTACTGAGATACATCCTGCCTAGGGGCGACTGTTGGAAGCCCAATGTTTGCATCAACATGCTCGCAAGCGCGGCCTGCAAGAAGACCAACACAAGCACCAACATGGATGCAGCTTGTGACTGCACCCACCACAGCAAGTCAGGCGTGGGATCCTTCCGGGCAGGAATATGACACACGACAACGGCTGTTGTCCATTCTGCAAGCGAGGAAAGAAACCTCCCGCGTACGGCCTTCCTGGCACCTATTACCTCACCACATACATGGCACTCATCACTGCATATCATGTTGCAGCCGGCAGCCTCTAAATACGGCGCCAGCGATACTTGATGCAGGCTCATAGGGTAGGAGACTTGGCACTGAACATCCACTGTGCACCGCTTGCCGGTAGGTGCCAAAATTGGATATTCCTCACAAGGGCAACACTCGAAACGCGATGGACCAGGACCTAACTGTACACAGGGACTACTGCCACACTCAGCACAGCAAAGATAAGACAGACAGCAGGGCACCCCTGAGCCGTCACATGAGCGGCAAGCCCCGACTTGCAACGACTCTGCGAAAGCATCAGAGGAAACCACATCACTCTTCAGCTCTCCGCAGATCGGGCATACCAGGGCGCCGCACACGTGAACCCTCAGGGGGAGAAGCTGCCGTCTTATCACAGTCACTCCAGTCCATCCATTTGGGCATCCGCATCGTCGTCGATGATACCCACTGCGGCCGCATTCTCGACGAATTTCGTGAGGTCCTCCGCACTGGTGTTGCCTGGCGGCACGGCCGCAAGCTGGGCATCCGGGTTGACAAGGCCCTCGGCACACAATTTCTGCCTGAAGGGCAGCAAAGCCGTTCTGGCTTCCGCAGGCTGCGCCTCCAACCTCTTCTCCCAAAGCTTGTCCCCCAAAGAAGGCGACAACGGTGCAGCTTTGGGACCCGGCGGGGCCACTGGCTTGACAGGTTGGCGGTGACTCCCATCTGCAGCTTTGGGCTTCTGATGCGTCGGAGGCCTGCTCGCCGATCCCAAGTCGAAGGGTGCTTCCCCACCGACAGAAGCCACTGGGGGCCTCTGCACAGGCATCAGGTACGGGTCCGTGTGTGTGGGCCCTTGCGTATCTGTCCCCGTAGCATGCGGAGCGACACATGGTGGAGTCAACGGATGTCCAGGCTGCGTCCTGTGAGGCGGGGTTGACGGAGCTGCAAGGAGCCCCGGTGCCCCACCCAAAGTTGTGAGAACCCGGACCAGTTCCTGCGCGCTTGCAGGCATGTCCTTTCCAGCGCAAAGTTCCTGCCATTCCGCGGCAGCCTCTTGCGAGATCTGGTGCTTCACATCCACACCTGTGACAGCCGCCTGTGTTATGCCACGGTGGGACTCTGCCTGTTGAGCTTCGACCTCCCCAATCTGTTGCTCCAGTCTGGCCACATCGGATAGAAAACGAGTCCTCTCCGACTGGTAGGCTTGCATCATCTCCACACGGTAAGCTTCCCACCGGTCTTTGCGGGCACTCAGCTCTTCGCGGAGATTGGCAATGCGCCCATCCAACTTCCGCGCTTGATTGACTGCAGACTGCACCACCTGCACCAATGATGGTTGTGCAGGGGCTTGTTCTGTGCGTCTTGTCTGCAGGACGGCCATGCCCTTGTTCTCCTTCCAGTTGGTGTCGTAGGCAGGAAAGTTGCTCTTGCGATCCGCATCCTGCCAAGCCTGATTCTGTTGCCTGGCTCCACGACGCGCACCTTGCCAGATACCCCAACTTGGAGACCCAGACGGCGGTGAGTAGTACTGAGATGGTTGCTCTCCCCATCCCTGCTGGCCCTTGCCGCCTCCCCTTCTGCCCATAGGCACAAGCCGGCTGGCAAAACTTGGGCAAGTGCCGTGGTGCTGAGCCAAGCGAAGCCGGCTCTGGTATGAGGTGGGCAGGTGCAAGCGCAATTTGCGCCTGGCCAGGGATCGTTTGGATCGAAGGCGCCGGTGCCAGGCGGGGCTTCCCCAAGAAGCCGGAATTGCGGCGGAGCACGAGTCTGCTACACGCCTGGGGCTCTAGCGATCCGCTAGCGGTGTTCCTGAGCCCTATATATATATATATATAGATACATACATACATATATCTAGTTTGTATAGGTATGTATATTATGCTTTTCTCTGCAACGGTCCGCAATGGCCGTCGTGCTTCTCTGCTCATGCAAACCTGCACAGTTTTTGCAGCTGGGCAGACGTCAAATCGGAGCTTGCTTCCTGCCCTCACGACAAGCCGCAGGCGCAGCCGAAGCTGCCTGACAGATCTTCTTCCTTTTTGTAGGGTCGTGTTCAGTATGATACACTCATAATGGAGAGCTTCACGCTTGACCTTCGTAATGCTAGCACGTGAAACCCCTCATGTGACAAGTAAGGCTGGAGCCTGAGCCGAAATGAAAGAGCCGCCTCACAAAAAGTTCGTCGAACTTACAAACGCCAAGCAAAATCATCGGCGACACGACATGTTTCATTCCCTCTATCCTGGTTGATGCCAAAGCTTTGCAGGCATCTTGCGGTCGGCATTCTCCACAGGATCCTTTGGCTGCGCTTGGAAAAGGGTTCCTCAATCAATGCTCGACATCCTGGCCTCCTTCGTCTGCGGGCTTCGGCCAGCCAAAGACGATGTTGAAAACTGGCATGCATCACGGCTCTGCGAAGGCATAAACTATTGGTGCTACAATCAGGTCCACTGCATCATTGGCCAGCTCGCGCTGCAAGGCATCCTGAACACCTGCCCATCAAACACTGCCGCATGCAGAGTTGCAGGCATGGCGGCTCAGGGCAGCACGATTACGCCGTTGGTGGTACAGAAAGTCACTCATGGCCTGGGTGATCAAAAGGGCCAGCACATACAATCTTTGTCGAAACTAGCCCTAGCCGGAGCCGTCAAAGTGAAAAGGATTCTCCTAGAGGTGCTCGAGGCTCTTGCATCCCTCAAGGGGGAGCCGACGAGGAAGGCTCGTAGAAAGTCCTCGTCATCCTGGGACACGGGTCGGTTGTACAAGAGTCTATGCTTGGTCAGCAATTAAGCTTCCTCCCTCCTGCACGAGCAATTCTAAACGTAGCCCGACATACCTTCGGTGGGTCTCTCCAGGCTGCGCTTCCGGTCAATACCTCGTTTGGTGCAGCGTGGCTCACACCTTGACTTTCTAAAGCTGATCTTTGAGAGAACAAGTCATTTTTGTCGGACACAAACAAAATCAGGTAGTGAAATGAGCTGCTGACACTCAATCCCGAATGCTTGAAGTCCTCCTGTGCCGGGCGGGAACCACAGCCAGAAAAACCTACCGACTCTCCTGCTCGTGGCATTTCGCTCACGTGCCCTGCCTTTGGAACAGTCATGATCTTGTGCGCAGATGTGACCTGAGAAGCGAGCTGGCGCAGACAGTCCCAGAAAGTGATGGGCCCCACACACGGCATGTCGGAGACACCGGGGCATCACGGTGCAAAGCCTGGTGAGCGGTATGGAGCTGCACAAAGCGCAGCTCCAACGGCCGAAGGAAGAAGGCCTGGTAGAGAAGGAGTGCGGCAAAGCTCCTTGCTTCCGAAGCTTCGCTGCAAAACCTCGGACAACTACGTGGTTTTGCAGCAGGGAAGTTTTGGGGTATTTCAGCCGCGGACCAAAGACCATCCACTTCACAAACACTCAGCACTATCTGGCAGAGGGCTCCGAACCACACCACCGTTTCAAGAACTGCAGGAGCCTTCTCTGGCGTAGTGGCGCCAGTCTGCAACTGATGGAGCAGGGCAAACCTAGGTTTGAGTCCAAGTCCAACTGACGACCCTATGCATTGCTCTGGCTTGAAATGCAATGGTTTATGGATCGGCATCCCGTCTCAGCGAGCGAGTCCAGAAACCAACCATAAAAGAAACAAAAACGGCCCTGAAGTCAACAGATGTGGTCTTGGTACTCCCAAAATCGTGAACCGAAGCCCATCTTCTCGGCTTCCACATCGATGTCTGGCTTTGTCGCCTTGGCCTGGAGTCCAAAGTCCCAACCTCCATCGAACTCCAGCTTAAAGAACATGACACCAACGGCCACTCCATCGCAGCTAAGTTGCAAGCCCTCTCTGACTGCCTGCAAGCATAGCCAGATGCCAGATGATGCCAGCAGAAGCGACAACAGGCATTCACGGCCTGCCAACCTGGAGTGGAGTCTAGATATGTGCCAGGCCCCCACCTTCCGAAGAGGCTCGCAGCCAGCAGATTCCAGCAACGATCTGAGCACACCACGCTACCTCAAGGCCAGCACTGGTATGCGGACGGAAGTATTTAGTGAAAGAAGAACAGGCCCCCGTGCCTGCCGTGAGCATTGTTTACATTGCGACTGCGCGAGGCTGGCATGAGGCATACCAAAGGCAACTGCTCAGGCATGGGCCAATTTTAGCGCAGGATTCTCCACATCTCTGACGAATTCCACAGCACCCATGGCAGCAGGCACCAGGGCTCGAACCTTCGTCCAAGAGTCTCTCACAGCATGGCGCAGTCAAGGCACTACAGGCACCTCTGCGAGCACCGCCTCCAGGTTGCCGACAACCTTGGTAGAGCGTCTGCACGATGTGTCATGTAAGGATAGATGTTGCCGATCTGCCTTCCGGCAGGTCACGAGCTCATGATGCTCATCCTCATTCAAGTGATGTGGCATGTTTTGCTTCAGTGCAAGTTCTCGATGCAGCGGCCTGTAAACGCTGCTGCAAACGCCTCTTCTCTTCGAGAGCTTGAGCAGAGAAAATCTCCAGCTGCTCACGCTGATCGTCGTCCACCCGCCTGCTTTTTGCAGTCTTGCACCTGCCTTGTGCCGGGCCACTCGCAGGTGCCTCAAGGTGGCCTTCAACCTCGCTTGCTCCTTCGACGGCCAAAAAATGTGAAAAAGATCGTGCCTTGATGTGCCTTGCACCTGGCCCGGCCTGGCCAGCCTGTGCCGCCGCGAGGTCAGAGCCCGCGGCCCGCAAGCGCTCCGCCTTCGCAAGGCAAGCAAAACGAAAGGGAAAGGGAGCTGCTCTACGGCTCTTCAAGAAAGCGCACCCTACCTCCAAATCTTGCGCGTGCTGCCGCTGCTGGGAGCCGGAGGCCTCCGTGCCGATGGCAGGTGCGCTTGCAGATTTTGTTCTGCCCACCTGCAGCTCTATGCGGAGCCGTCGAATCTCCTCTTGCTGTGCTGTCACCTTGAAACAGAAAAAAACAGAAACCAGAAGAAATCAGAAGTGCCGCCCCTGGCCTCTGCGCGGCTCTTCCTTGCAAAGATGTTTTAAAAACAACTGCTACGCCTTGCTACGCCTGCTACGTTCGGTTGGAGCAGGCCGAGGCTCTGCAGCTCCGCATGGAGCCTCTGCAAGTTCGCCTGCATGCAATCACGTAATGCACGTGTCCACTCAGTGCACTGCTGCCTGCTGCTCCTTGGCCCCGGCTAGCACGCTCTCCCTCTATGGAGAAGCATCTCTCTACCTCTATATCCATCGCCATCTCCATCTGTATCTCTACCAGGGATGACACGCCCAACCGAGAAGTGGACTAAGTCAAGTCTATCTCTCTCTCTCCCTCTTCCACTCTTGAGGGAAAGGGCAGGTCGAACCCTTCCCACCCCACGCGAAAGCGCACCTGCATGTCCTTGCAGATTCAACTCTCATCGGAACTTTCCCCTTCCAGGCTCTGCTGTACTATTCATCTCTCGTCTCTGTCTCTCTCCCGGGCATGGGCCCCTGGCCGATGGCCCACACCAGTATGCAACAGGCTTCGTAGGAGTGCGAGAACCTCGTTTTTGCATTTCTCTCTCGCTCTCTCTCTCTCTCTCTCTTTTTTTTCCTTTTTTTCGCCAGGGCTAGGGTGTAGGGGTTTGACCACCTACACCGCGCGCGTCAAGCGCCCCCGAAAGTTGCGGGTGCCAGAGGAAAGACGTGCGCACACCACCGAGGCAAAAAGTTGCGAGGGCAAACAAAGCAACAACAAG